AAGTAGGTCAGGATGCTTCCAGCGATGGTGAACACAGGGGCAGCCCCAGCCACCCTCCTTCCCACTGAAGAGGGAGCCCCTTCTAGCCACCCTTTGTGCTGGTGTGTATAGAGGACACCTAGTTCCTTCCTACACTGTCTCCTTTCTCGGCTCTATAGCAATTAGTCTGGATTTTTTGTCATTTCTGTTAATTATAAAGTAATGGCTGTGTTATTACCTCGAGTGATATATTGCTATTATGTTTTTAAATACACAGCACCTCACACACTGCTTAATAAACATCTACTGACTTGATCTCTTAAGAGCAACATGGATGGTGCTGGAAGGGATCATGCTCAGCAAAATAAGCCAGAAAGAAAAAGAAAAATACTGGATAGTCTCACTCATAGCAGGAATCTAGAAAACTTAAATAAGGGACCAGGAAAATGAATAACTATAAGAAAGTGAAAATCAAAATCAACAAAAAACTATGAACCAGAGACACTCTATGGGGGGTAGGAGGCGGGAGGGGAGGGATTGGGGTCAAAATAAGGGGGTTGCAATTGTATGGGGAATATAAAAATAAAATTTATTATATAAAAAAAAGAGTGACTTATGAAGATTAACGCTGTGTGTTGTGGCATTAAATCCCCTACCAATAGTAAGGACTTTTGTTTCTGGCATTCCCTGTTCAAAGGACAGCAGGGCTAGCGGTCTTCTCTCACCATTAGATCTCTCTAGGCTTTCTCCACTGCCCCTGCTCAGAGGGTGTTATCTTCTAGACTGATATATTTCTGGCCAGGCAGACAGGGTCTCATTCATCCTTGTTTCTCCCTACAGTTGATGCTTAGCGTCAATTCCTTCAAGGAGTACCAAACTGAACAAACTTATTAAATCCTTTACCTTTCTTATGAACAGATTAGACCAAACCAAAAAAGTTTCTTTCAACTTCCATTGATATCCCTGTTTGGGAATCATTTTTCATTGCTGGGAAATCTGTCTATTCAACCTGTATGACCTACATAACTGGGTGGGATTATGTTATTTGTCCTGAATCATGAGTAAAAGTTGACTCAGCCAATTATCAAAACATAATCCTTCAGATATGTGTTCTTACATGACAACAAACTGTTAGAAAATTATGGAAATGAACCACTGGAAAATACCGTATTTCTTCAATTCTAAAATGCCACTGATTTTTTAAGATGTCAGTTTTGCAAAAGGAAAAAATTGTGAATTTGAACACATTTCAGAAATGAAGTGTGAAAAATACTGCAGTTTAGAATTGAACAAATGAACAAATAAAATTAGGACATTTTACACTCTTCCATTTTGGGGCGCACAGGTCCATGTGACCGACACAAGGCAGGCTGGCCTGAACCACAACCAGCTGACACCACACCCATAGTTCACTAGGCAGCCTCTACTATGTACTCTGTGGAAAGTGTTTCAAATATTTAAAAATTGTTTCTAAACTGGTGTTCCAAATTGTGAGAATGTCAATTTGATCCTGTCAGAAAGTGCCAATTTTGCATTTCTGGGCATAGCCGGGGGGACCCTCAAGGTTTCTGTGTCTCCCAAGTTTGCAATGGCCCTGCCACCCATTAATATCTCAGTTGAAGTTTTTTTTTTAAATGTTTTTTAAAAAGGATTTTATTTTTTGTGTAGAACAGGGGTGTAGAACAAAGGTGCGGGGAGGGGGTTGGTGAGAGGAGTCACCAGAGATCTAGTGGGGAGTAGAGCAGTCGGATTAACTGAAATAAACTCCTGAGGGGAGCAGTGTGCAAAACGAGGGTCCTGCTGCACCAATTGGGTTAGCTCCCTAGGCAGGGTTGGAACTCAGGCCATCTTGGTGATAACACCGAGACTTAACCAGTAGCTATGCTTATGGCAGAATGGAATGCCTAGGCTGAGGGGAAGAGACTGTGCTGAGTGGGTCTGCCCTCATGCTTAACCAGTCAGCGATGTTGTGAGATTACTGGCCAGAATGGTGCATATAACCCCACCTTGGCCATCAGACTTCTGTGATTTCATCTATGCTTCTGGAACAAAATGCTCCTTTTGCTGTTTTTTAAATGTTAACGGTGGGGTGGGGAAGTTTGTTTTCCTGAACTGCTTCACAAAAGACAGGAAGTCCCCAAAGTCCTATTTTATCTTTTCCTGAACTGGGTTTCATTTTGTATTCTGCCTAAAACTACATTTAGGCAGGATTCCATCTTCCTGATTACATGGGCCTCAAAAAAAAATGGTTTTGTAGCTCTAAGTGGACTGGGCAATACAGATAAAGGGCATTTGATTATCTATGTAAAAAACAAGACAAGGGAGGTAAACCATGATTACCATTTATTCTCCAGACACTGAGGTCAATCCCTTTAGAAAAACACTAAAGTTCTATGTATTTTTAGCAGAATCGCAACATGCCTATTTAATTTGTATAGTGCTTTCGTGATTCTCAAAACAAGATTTCAAATGCTTTAACATTCACAAACTCCTCGTGTAATACATGGTCAGGTGTTTCAACTCTGTTCTTCCCAGTTATATGACTTCCCAGTTATATGACCTTGTGCAAAGATCAGACTTGTGAGCATGCTTACTCCTCTACAAAATGGCAATAGCAGTACCGAGCTCAAAAGGACACTATTTGACGTAAAGGACTTAGCACACGATATGCAAAAATTTACTGTTATCAGCATATCTGAAACATGTTTTTTATTTGTATCTTTTACATCATTGTGTATTCCCCATAAAATCCCCACCACCAGTTCACCTGTGAACCATCACCATAGTCCCTTGTGCTCTTCTCTCCCATTTTGATTCCTTTTCCTTTCCCTTCCCCACAAAATGTGTCTTCTTTATGGTTGCCTGCTAAATTTTATTATCTCCTGACCCCTTATTTAGTTCCCCTATATTCTGCCTATGAGTGAAACCATTTGATATTTTTTTTTCCTTCTAGCTTTTCACTGAGCATGATCCCTTCAAGCTCCATCATGTTGCTATGAATGGCATTAGTTTATCTTTTTTGATTGCTAATAGTATTCCATTGTGTATATATACCACATCTTGATCCACTCATCTAATTTTGGGCATCTGGGTTGTTTCCATATCTTACCTATTGTGAACAGTGCTGCAATAAACGTAGGGGTGTAGGTATCTTTTTGAATTAATGTTTTTGTGTCCTTTGGGTAGATTAATGTTTTTGTGTCCTTTGGGTAGATTAATGTTTTTGTGTCCTTTGGGTAGATTCCTAGGAGTGGAATTGCATGGACTGCAATCAATGGCCATCCTACTGAAAGCAATTTACAGATCGATGTTACTCTGATAAAAATTTCAATGACATTCTTCAAAGAAATAGAACAAATATTGATGAAATTCATATAGAACCACAAAAACCTTTGAATAGCCAAAGCTCTCCTGACTAAAAAGAATGAAGGTATCACGTGCCCTGATTTCAAACTATACTACGAAGCCATAATAATTAATAAAACAGTATGGTACTGTAACAAAAACAGACATACAAGACCAGTAGAATCGAATTGAAAACCCAGAAATAAACTCACGTATTTATGGACAACTAATCTTTGACAAAGGAGCAAAGAATAATGAATCTCTTATCCTATTGGAAGGTTACAAATCTTGGTTATCATTCAGTTTCAGGAACTTCAACATGTATAAACTTATTTGGCAATTAAGGGAAACATGCTACCTTTCTTCCCATGTTCTATCACTTTAACATAGACAATATCAAGGGCTAGGGCCCCTAGGCACAGAACACATCACCTCTTGTAGGCAGGAAATCAGGCTTCAAGGGATACTCTCATTTTTAGCTATCTTTTCCCATATGCCTACTCTTTATCATGCTTCTACTGGGAGAATACCTTCGCTATCTTTTATGTGCTGTGACTATTATTTACTCTTGATCTCACATTTCAACTTTGCTCACTTCTGAGACTTATCACAATGAACTATGGTTGTGTTTACATGGGGTTGCTATGCTTTAGAAGGCAATTATCTTATTCATCATCTCCCCTGTGCCCTGCTAGCATCATACCTGCTACACTCATATTTCCTGATTAAGATGTTCATGAGATACCATTCTAAGCAAACCAAAAGGGCCTTTGTGTGTCTTTAACCATTTGTTTCAGTTGTCCTTTAACAGTTTGAATGATGTTATCAGAAAATGAGAATTTTTTTTTTTAACCTAAAGCCTTTTAATTTCTATGTCTTCACTCTGTTGTGAGGTGAGGGAGAAAAAAACTCCAGTGTTAATAGGAACCAAGGAATTAGTGATTCTTTTGCTTTCATCACAGCTATTAATTTTTTAAACAAGTACGCAATCCTATGTATTAACTCATCTATTTTTGCATAAAACTGGGGTGTAGGCCAGAGGTGTGGGGATGGAGGGGTGAAAAGATTCACCAGAGACAGAGTAGAGAGCAGAACAGGCAAATTTACTGAAATACACTGCTAAGAGGAGAAGAGGGCAATGCTGCACCATTATGTGAGTTAGCTCCCTTACTAGGGACTGAACTCAGGCAATAGATATGATAGTGCTGAGACTTAACCCCTAGGCCACCAGGGAGGCCCGACTCATCTTTTAAATTGAAAAGTCTTAAGTCAGAAAGAGTTGAGTGCTACAATTGTTGGTAGCTTCCCCTGATATTGCTCAAATTATACCATTTTGTTTTATGTGCATGATGCCATCCAAACACGAGGCTATAAACTTTGGGTGCTAAAATATGATGATTTTGGCACATACTTTTCTCTTAGGAAAAAAACCCCAAAATAACCCAAATGAACCAGCAACAGCTGCTATAACTTGCATAGAGCTTACTACGTACCTGTACATTTCACCTTAATCCACTGAGAGAGTTTATGTTATTATCTTCATTTTATAGATGAGAAAATGGGCACAGCTGGGTTAAGGAATGTGCCCAATGCCCAGTAAGAAGTGATTGGAAAAAGAATTGGGCTTTAAATAAAAGCAGTCTAGCTGTAAACAGCATGCTCATAATCACACTATGATCCATAGCCCCATTATATTATGTACATTATATTGGCAGCAGATACTAGGTTTCTTTCTTAAACAAATCACCCCTTCAAATAACAAGCATATAGTTCAGTTAGGAAGTTTACAGACCAATCATCATCTGACCGGAACCTTTATTATTTCAGGAAGAAGCATCCTGTACAACTTGAGATGTTTAGAATAGCTATTTCTGGATTACTGTAATAAATATGTCAAAAATACCAATCATCTAAATAATCATACACTTATTCCCTTTATTAAGAATATCCAAAAATAACTCTTCTTTATCAAGAAACCTATAAATGTCATAGAGTTAAATGCTAGTCTATACAGGAAAAAGTAAATACTGTCAGGAAAATTTTAATGAAGGTTTTTCCTAGTTATATTTTTTGATTGCTATAATGAAGAAAAACTAGTTTTGCCTTCCTTTTCAGTACTTAGTCTGAGAAATAAAATAAAAAATAAAGTCTTAGGAGAAAAACTGCTTTCATAATCTCAAGTGTAAGCCAAAGAGGCTTTTCTGAAAAAAAGCTTCAAAGTCTGAAGAGATGAGAAAGGCAAGCATGTTTTCTATTAAAAATTTCAATAAATATGCAAAAAACTCAGCAATTATGAATATATGGTTTCTGTACTGGACAATGCAATAATTTTCATGCTTTGACTATTTATCCTGAGAAGCATTTTAAGGATAATTTGTTCATTAAGATTCAAAAGCAAAACTCTCACACACACACATATTATCAGCAATCATAATATATATATATATATACACACACACGTATGTATTAATCTAGACTTCTCCATATGATTAACATTTTATATTGTCCTAACACTGTCAAAATGGCAGGAGAATGAATCACCTATGTTTTGACTTAATGCTCAATACTTTTAAGTTCAGCAGATGAATATAAAAACAGTGACAGTGACATTGTTTGTTTCAAATAGACCCCTTTCACTGGCTCACCACCACTTACAGAAGTGCTAAGTATTCAAAGAAAGATTGCAGGTGACCCTTTCTCTTGGGTCCTTTTAAACCTCTATGTCACTTATGACATTGGTAATATGCTGCAATAAAAAAATTATGCAGGTTTGCTAATTTTCACTTAGCCAAATAAATTTAAAAATAGATAAGACACTTAAATTTTCATAACACAAACCTTAGCTTTCACTTTCATTAGAACATTTAGAATTATTCAAACACGAGAATTGGAAATATGTGTGCTTATTTGAGAGAGAACTACTGAAATTTATTCTCCAGAAGAAAAAGCAGACCTGAAGCATTACATTACTGGAACATTTGAAACATGTTGACAAGTCCTTATTTCCTAAATTTCAAAAAAGCTGCTTGTACAAACTAATGAATATCTGCTCCTGTTAACAAGCAAGATATCTGATGTATCTAAGAAGCCAGAAGTTGAGTCACTTCACTTCTTTCTGCCGCTTCCACCAGTTGCTAGCATAGTGGCAACTCGCATAAATATATTTAATGTATCCATGTAGATTCCCATCATCCTAGAAAAGAAAATTATGCCCATTAATGATTAAGTATGATAGAATTCTAATAACAATAAAAACTAATTAATTTATAAGAAAAAAATACTGATTATTTGTCCTAGGAATATGAAATGGAAATTAAAAACGAGATGCATCTGAGGAAGTCCTAGACTAGAAAACAGTCAAAACTTTGTCCTGGCAGATTAATCTTTAAATGTTAAAGGAAAGTATAAAAAAAAAAAAATCATTATTCTAGCCTCTGACACTCTACTATGAATAGCATCTTGCAAAAATAACCTCTAGGTGATAGACAATGAAATAATCAAAACCCAAAGAAACACCTTTACAAAAAGGTGTTAGAGGCAAGTCTGGCATTTTTAATTATAATATACTCCCTAATGTCTGCCCCCGCCCCGCCCGAGAACTGCTGAAATTTTTAAGATTTACATCAGCTTTAAATTATTACATTAAGTTTCAAAGAAAAATACTTTAAAAAGTGTGACAGACATGATGAAACTCAAGGCAGTTATTTAAATAAAACTACCTATTTTGCTAGAGAGGCCAAGAAAAGAAAGTATTACTATATATCACGTAGTATCAGTTAAGAGTGTCTCCAAAATGAAATTTTCATTATGAATTTTTTTCAATTTTCAACAAAATAGGCTTTTTCATTAAAAATTTCATGTCAGTTATGTATACTTTCAATGAATACTTGGCTAATACCAATCTTTTCTTCATTTTTGAGTCTGTTAAGTGAATAACTAAAAAATTTAATTGCCTAATAAAAGCACTATAAGGTTAGTTAATACATACAGGCAAAATACTATGAATTATAACACTTGAAAAAATACCTGAATATTCCACTTATTTGAAGTATGATCAAAATTTGGTGGCTACATAGCTTACTAAAGAGAATGAGTCAAATAGCAACAGAAATAGAAGTGAGATTCAACAAAGCCACTGCTGTGGGCTGCATTCAAAAGACACATTGTAGTTCTTAACCTGGTAACATGAGCATGACTTTATATGGGGAAAAGAGGGGTTTTGCAGATGTAATTAAGATGTCAGTTAAGATAAGGTCAAACTGGATTACTGAGCTCTAATCCAATATGACTTGTGTCCTTTTAAGAAAAGAGAGGGAGAGGACACATCTGGAGAATGTCATGTAAAGACAGAGAGACTGGAGGGATTTATCTACAAGCCAAAGAATGCTAAGGATTGCTGGCTGTAACAAGAAGTCAGGAGACAGACAAGGAACAGGATTCTTCCTTAGAATTCTCAGAAGGTACCAACCCTTGTTGACCCCTTGATATCAGACTTCTGGCTCCCAGAAATTTAGTAATTTCTGTTGTTTTAACTCACCCATAATTTATAATTTTCAGCAATTTATTATGGAAATATGAGGAAACAAATAGAGTCATATAACAATAGGCCAAAATGTCCAAAACACAAATACCCTTTTTTAATAAAGACATTACAGAATACTTACGAATTGATGGGATCATATTTTTGAGCCCCATAAAATGGTACTACTTCTGCACGCTTGATTACTTTCTGGGTATCATACAGAAGGAACATGCTGAAAAGAGCTAATCCTCCATAAATTGACACTGAGTACAGAGTGGCACCAGCAATAGAGGTAGGTGGGAGAAACATGGATCCTGAAATCAAAGGGGATAGAATTTTTGAATAAGGACTTTCCTGTAATTAAATTTATAATTAACATTACTTAAATTTGTTATCTTTGGTATGCTACACAGGTAAGAAACTGTCTGAATATATGTGTATTAATTTTACATATAGAAGTTCAAAAGCCCATGATACTCATTGGTCACATGGGTTACCTGCTCATATGACAGGAAGGCTCGTGTGGAGACAATTTTCTTGTTCTCCATAACAATGTTTTCCCATTTTAGACATACTTGGTAAAACCAATAATAATAGTTGACCATGATACCAAATAGAAAATCCAGTAAAATTAGCATATATATTTTTGTAACTAAATTTTTACTGAGGTAATACTGGTTTATACTACTGTTAAGTTGCAGTTATAAAACACTGTACTTCCAAACCTGTAAACACTACTTCATGATCACCACTGAAAGTCTAGTTTCTATCCATCACTGTATACTTTACTCCATTACTCATTTCACCTACCCTCTTAGCACATATCTTTTAAACAACTTTTAAGAATGACTCTTAATAAATCTTTCCACTAGGACACCTGAAAACTTCAGATGATTTTAGAGTATCATCAACCAAGAACCGAGAACCAAGTGTCAAAGCATAGCAGCTTACCCAGTGAGGACACAAAGACGAGACCCAGGCCCACACCCAAGGGGGCGCCCATGTTCAGAAACTTCTCACTAGGTGCACACATTGCCACAGTGGAGAGGCCCCCCACAATGCCAGCTGTGTACCATGCAGCTCTGATGAGAAGAGGCCCTCCTAGTATTGTCAGAGGAGCCACCACTGCACCCATTACACCTGGAAAACAAGTGCAAGTATTTCCATCATTAAATAATAATTAATAGGAAAATGCCACTTCTAACAAGATTTAAAGCATTATAATGTATTGTTAAATGTCTGCAAAAAGTCTTCCCCTTATTTAAAAACTACCCCCAAAATGTCATAACCAAAACTTGTGGCTATCTAAATTCTAAAGCACAACAGCAATACTTTCCCAAGTCAAATAATCAAAACTCACAAGTATAAACAATCTAGACTTTTAGTAACTTCCTCAAATTCCACGTAATTCATTAATTGGATCTGAGCATATCATCAGTTTTTGTAACAATATTCACATATGCCAAGAATTAAGATAAAAGCCTTAAATTGAGGGGCCTTCCTGGTGGCGCAAGGGGATAAGCACCACACTATGAAGTGGTCCGCAACCTCTGCAGCATGAGTTTGATCCCCGGACAGCCAGGAAGCAACCCAAATGGTGAAGCAGACCACTCCTGACTTGCCCGCTGCTCCCCTCAGCAGTGTATTTCAGTCAATCTGCCTGTTCTGTTCCCCAGTGTCTCTGGTGAATCCTCTTACCCCTCGCATCTCTGGTCTGAACCCCAGCCCTTGTATGCATAAATAAATCTTTAAAAAAAAAAAGCCTTAAATTGAACAAATCTACAAGTAACAAAAGGGTACAAACTTCAACAAGAGAATGAACATATGATGTGATCCTTAAATGTAGGCTTTGAGGATAGACACTGCTGCTACCTCATGTAATAGGGAACTGTTACCCTATTTTGTAAATAGTAGTTTTACTTATTAGATATTTATAAACATCTACATAAAATTATAGTGAAAGATCAACAAATAGAACATAAAAGATAAATCTCAGATAAAGTATTATTTCAGTGATAAACAGAATAATTTGTCCTTTTCTAAAACATTAAATGCTCAGAGTTTAACTCATGGAATAGGCCAAAGCTATCATCATGCTGAAATTCAATACCAGAGTGCATCTTTTGTATCATATCCAGATCAAGTGTTAAGGTATACTGTATCACATACTGATGAATAATTGAGAAGTGTTTTCTTGCTCTAGGAAATGGGATAAAAACCCCTCTGTAAGACATTTCTATTCAGATTCCCATCAATTTTGCAATTGACTATAAAATTTTTAGCAAAACTTTTAAGATTATTCAGAGATTTTTCAGATAAAACCTTAAATAGTAAAAGTGGTAAAAGATGTTTGTTACTCAAGAACAAATAGAACTAATGAAGTTAACATTATTATGTGAATGAAAATCAATATTCTGCAAACTGGTACAATCACTATGAAAATAGTGCAAAGGTTCCTCAAAATATTAAAAAAAAAAAAAGAACTACTGTATGATCCAACAATTTCACTTCTGGGATACCTGTACTCCCGTGTTGACTGCAAAGTTACTTACAACAGCAAGATAGGGAAACAAATTGTCTGAAGGGGGTGAGTGGATAAAGATTTTATATATAGATTTCTATATATGCTCATGAAAAAAATGCAGTATTATTAGGTCATAAGAAGGTAAATCCTGTTTAAAATAACATCAATGAATCTTAAGGACATTATGCTAAATGGAATAGAGATACAAATTCTACATGATACCACATATGTGGAATCTAAAAAAGTCAAACTCAGAAACAGAGAGTAGAATAGTGGTTACCAGAGGATGGGGTATATGGGATATATTGGTCTCAAGGCACAAACCTACCAGATTTAAGATTAATAAGTTTGGGGATCTAATGTATACAGTATAGCAATTACAGCTAATCATACTATATCATATATTTGAATGCTACTAAGAGGGCAGATCTTAAATGTACTTACCACAAAAAAAATATGGAACTACATGGTAGGGTGATTAGCTAATTCTACAGTGGTAATCATTTTGCAGTATATATCAAATCAACATTATTTACCTTAAACTTACACAACAGTATGTGTCACTTATATCTGAATATAGCTGGGTGAAAAAACACAATGACTGAGACCAGTTTTGTCTATGTAGTGCAGGATGAAAAGTGAAAACAAAATGTACTGGGATGTTAGTACTGTGTCAGAAGTCAGTTCTGATGTCCCTTAGACATAGTGAGTGTTTGCCTTTGGGTCATCCAAGCCCCCTGAAAGTGTCATCTCAATCATGCAGGTGAATGAAGGAGCAGAGTACTACTGGACTTGAAGAAATAAGGTCAGGGTATCTGTCCTGACTTAGTGACTTCCTGGTATGTGACCTCACCCAGTCTCAGCTTTCTTATTTCTGAAATGGATATGGCAAGGCTTGCACAGTTTCCTAAGACATTTATGAATAAAGCAAAATTTTAACAACATCAAAATATAAAGAAAACATTGACATTTCTACTGTGCTGGGATGGATTATTTCTTTACAAAGTCCTGCTTACAAGGTTAGTGCTTCACTGGTATCTGAGAATGTGATACTTGAAACTATTCTCTAACCGACAGGGTTAGGCTATTTGTGAAAACAATGTGAATCATGCTGATTATCTGCTTTCTTCTAGGAGCATGGATTTTGGTAGTTGCCAGGACTACTACATGACTCAAGTACTTCAATTACAGTACCTCAATGAAAACCTTGGGCACCAAGTCTCTAGCGGATTTCTCTGGGCAGCAACATTGCATGTTACTATTTTTTGCTCTCTAGGTGTGTCCCCTCATAGGAAGGAGTACGTTCTGAATACCTGTGTGAATTCTCTAGACTGCCTTTATCTCTTTCCCTTAACTCCTAACAAGCCATTGAATAAATGGGTGGTTATAGGGACTCACAACACACACAAAATACCATGACTCAAGTAATTTATATGCTGTAACAACATCAAATTAAGAGAGATTTTCTAAGCAACCAGGCAGAAAGGTTTACTTAGCCTTACTTAAATTAAAGCTATACAGCTATTTTAATTCAATTTAGCAAGTGACTAAGTATCTACAATTTATCAGAGACAAAAAGATTGAACTTGTTTTCTCAAGGAATTCAGTATTTAAAATGGGAAATAGGTGCAGAACTCTACTCAATGGCCATACAACAATCCTGAAAACTGGAAACATAAATGTCAATAATAAAATTCAGGTGGTAAGAATTTTGGTGTGTCAATGAAAGGATGTACACTTAAAATAAAAAAACAAAAAAAAACTTCCGATAGCACATGAAGAATATTTCACACCAAAATCTGTCATACTATGTGACCAAAAAAAAAAAAAAAATTGTATTTATTAACTCATGTTAAAGGCAATTCAGAGGTTGTCACCTGCAGTTTCAGTGAAATTCTTTTATATGTTGTACAAAGCATGTACCTAAGAAGTATATTTTGTCTCTGGGTGATTATTTGGTCCAGAGACAGAGCATCCTGGAATACGTGATATGGAAAACACTTTGTCTAAACTTTAAAACAAGTTTTTTTTAAAGGAAGGTATCATAACATGTATCAAAAGAATACTAAAAATTGTCTTTTAATATCAGGGTTTGACAGCTTTTCCTCTAATCATGGTAACTTTGTACTAGTAACTATCAAAATTCTGACCCATCTAACCATCTCAGACACAAATGTAAACTTTCAAAGATCTTTCTGGCTGTAAATGCTCTATTGCAAAAACCTCTACAATTATTTCACATGTCTTATCTCCACCTCCTCTTCTTCTTTACTCTCAATTTTTAATATTTTTAAAGATTCCCAATAAAAATAACTCTCAAGTGATGTGTATCAGATCTAAAATCCTTCAAGTAATACACAAAATACATTAATAGAAATTTCTGCACACCCTAGACTATGACAGAAGATAAGTGTGATAGTGGGGATGCCCCTGGTCTTAGTTTTAGAACCAATAACTTTTCAGATCTGAGGTCTGGCAATAATATAACCATCAACAAATACACAAAAAATGTGTTTCCTCAACATGTAGATTAATTAATTATGTACAATTCATTTACTTGTGATGAATGATGCAAAACAGTAGTACTGAGGTTAATAGAAAATTAAAATTAGCACATATTAAATGATTTAAATATATATAATTAAAAAAATAAAATAAAATTAGGGCCTCCCTGGTGGCGCAAGGGGTTAAGACGCAACTTATGAAGCTATCCACAGCCACTGCAGCCTCAGTTCGATACCCAGCCAGGAAGCTGACCCACACGGAGCAGAGGACCTCTCCTGACCCACCCACTGCTCCCCTCAGCAGTGTATTTCAGTGGATCCGCCTGTTCTACTCTCCACTCTGTCTCTGATGAATCCTCTTAACCCCCCACACCTCTGGCCTGTACCCGTTATTTATGCAAAATAAATAAATCTTTAAAAAAAAAAAAAAAAATTAGAACATACCAGAATGTAGTAACCAAGCAAGATGCTTTGGACCTGGGTTCTGGTGATATGATATTGACTGTACCAGCATTCCAGCTCCAATCATGGCTGCAAAGGTCGCACCAATAGCCTGAAAAATACATATAATGAAGAGTAACTGATCCTTTTGCAGTAATACATGGTCCAAACTCAGTCCATCCAATAAACCATATTAAAAAGATGAAGGGTAATCATCCAAATCCTGCATTTTTCTAGCACATTAAAGGCCTTACACTTTGTTTTGACCAAGTTACCCAAAGTGCCCCTTATTGCCATAAAGTTTTAAAGACAACTTCAAGTGTGTGAGTTGAACTTTGACTCAACTTATAAAAATTTTACCCTGGTTGGACAGAAGATTACCAAAAACTCTTTAAGAGTTACAGAATAATTATTTTAAATTATAGCAAACAGCATTAAAAAAGGTCATAATAATTAGAACACATGAGTACCTATATGCATACATGCATATATATACATACATACATACATATATATATATATAGCACATTACTTTGAACTCTTTGTTAAATGAAAACCTGATAAATAGAAGGAAAATATCACAGTACAGGAAGAGAATGAGAAAAAGATTCTACATTTCTATCCTAATTTTATGGCTGACTTGGTTCTCAACCTTTTTATCTTAGATTTCCACTGTTGTAACACTTATATATTTCTTGTGTTTAACAAGGAAGAAATCTGTGTAATTGGAGAATGATAATAATGTATCTTCAGAAAACTTTAAGCAAAAGTAGAAAACTTGCAATCCTTGCACAAAATCAGGCTCAAGGTACCCTGGTAGCCATGAGCAGTGTCAAGATACTTCTCTCATTGCAAAAACACTTGGCATAAAAAGTTTGACACTGTGTGTGAGTATGTCTATTACTCTTTAAATGCTACATCTTTGCCTCTGTAGCACCTGATGTAGTACCTGCCTGGCATTCCAAACTATTTTACTTACAAGCTTTAAAACAGCAGGGAAGAGTGATTGCATGCCTACAGGAAGAGGATTCAGAATATGGCCCAAGAACAAAAGTTCTTTTAAGTCTCACTTTAGGGGCTAAAATCACTTGTATATTTCACTCTTGCTCATATAGCCATCTTGCTTTATTAAAAGCACTGTTTTAAATTCCCTGTGATCAAAACTGACATTCTTGGTAAGTTAAGAAGACCCCCTTATTCTGTGTCTTCATGAAGCTTTAGGCTAGAAGATTCATGAAACTATTCTGTGAAGATCATAAAAATACTAAAGTGGCTACGCTTCTGTAAATGGTACTCCTTTTAGGAAGTATAATACAGTGGAAATATTACAGACTTGGAAATTAGATAGATTTGGGTTACATAACAGAACAATCAGCTTACTATGGGAAATCTCTATTATATAAATTCCCCTCTCTTCCTTTCCTGTCCCACACTAATTTTTATCATCTTATAAAATGATGATAGAGCATCTTATAAAATGCCCTAGTTCTTATTATCTCATAAAAGCACAATTGGTACACTTGCCTCTTACCTTGTCCATATTTATTTTTAAAATTCAAATACAAATCATATTATTGTTGCTCTTGTACCTGCAATGGCCTCTGACTGCGCAGGTACACTCCTCAGCTTGGCAATTAAGCAATTCCTTTGTAAATATGTCCTCTTCATATTCCAGATGCCAAATGCTCAAATTTTATACTAAAAGGATTGTAACATCACTTTTAATGACACCCCTCTCCCTTGTTCAAGCTGTACTGCAAATAAGGATTACCCGTCCTTTCTTAAAATTAAAAATGCTAGCCCCCTTAATGGGTTCCAATGAAATGTTTCCTTCATGGAACTTCCCTACTAGTCCAAAATAAAAGGTCTGTTAACTGATTTTGCACTTTCTTTAAAAAAAAAAAATTATGTAATGATCTCTTACCTGAAGATAAGATATTAGAGAATAATTTCCCAGAATACAGAGCCACACTATTACATCCTTCATCACTTAACTATTTCTTCAACCAGATAGTAAAAATATAGGTATTACTGAAGTAGTTTTTAGTATCCAACAAAATAACAAATATTCAAGAAATACTCATAAGACAAAATCCTATAAAGGTCTACAGAAGTTATTAATAATAGCATTACCAACAAGTTATTAATAATAGTCACTAATCATTAATAGCTATTACTATATATATTAATAACATTGATAACTAATTATTAGTAATAGTTATAAATATGCTTAAACAGAATGCTAATGTTTTTGTGACAGGTATTTTCCACTAATCTTTTAATATGGTTTTGCATTTACTTCATTTTTTAAAAAAAGATTTATTTATTTATGCATACAAGAACTGGAGTACAGGTCAGAGGTGTGGTGAGTGAGAGGAATCACCAGAGACAGAATGGGGAACAGAACAGGCAGATCAACAGAAATACACTGCTGAGGGGAGCAGTGGGCAAGTCAGGAGAGATCTGCTGTGCCATGTGGGTTGCTCCCTGGCCGAGGATCAAACTTGTGCTGCAGTGGCTGCAGATAGAGTCATAGGTTGTGTCCCAAACCCTTGCGCCACCAGGGAGGCCCAACTTCATTTTTTAGTAAAAACAGAGGCTGCCTGAAACCTGATAAATTAGATGTTTCTGTAGTTTGGTTTCTAACCCCTTTGGTGTTATTAAAATACATATTCAATGAAGAATAACAGCTGACATAACCTCAGAATGTGCTTCCTATTTTGTCTCAGCTGCACTCGTCATTCATACATTATCTAAACAAAAATTTGTTCAATGTAGTACAGCATTCTTTCCATTTTATACCCTCTCCCAATATTTCACATTTAATCTTTGGATATTTATTGGAAAAGGAAAACAAAAATAAACTGACTTACCACCCAAGAACCTCTCATCATGAGGTTCATGAGAACAGGAGTTCTGCTCACTGCCAGGGCAGACAAAGCTGTTACACCAATACTTCCTGCTAAGTACATGTAGGTAGAATGAATTCTATCCTTTACATACTGAGGCCAAATTCTGTTAAAAAAAAAAAAAACATGGTTAATTTATAGTACCTTGTATGTGAATTTCTGATTAATCGTTTGTTAGTTAGGAGATCTTGGAAGGTACTGTTTTACTGCCCTACATCTTACTCATTTATCGTGGAAATAATTACATACATTTTACAATTATTGCTACTTAGGAAGAGTAACTTCACTTTTATTTCAGTAATGAATAGAATTTGGATTCTTTGGCCAGGTTCCCCAATTTCTTAATATGGTTTTGCATATACTTCATTATTTAGTAAAAACAGAGGCTGTCTGAAACCCGATAAATTAGATGTTCCTGTAGTTTGGTGTCCATGTGTTCAGCTGCTTTGACTTTATTTTATGTATCCCCTGCCTAACATTACTTACAGACTGTTCTTCACCTTGTTTCCAAGGCTGAGGAAAAGAAAATAGCCTCTAGTTTGAGGAGGCAGAAGGATACTGTGACTTCTCAGAACATTTTTCAAATGCCTCATTTCCTTTATTGTTTTTGAAAAGGGAAGTTCAACTAAAATTGTTTCAGTTTAAATATAGTTCTTTTAGAAGGAAATGGAGGCATCACACTCCCAGACTTCAAACTATACTACAAAGCCTTAATCATCAAAACTGCATGGTATTGGAACAAGAACAGACATACAGACCAATGGCATCGAATAGAAAATCCAGAAATAAACCCACAGATTTATGGTCAACTAATCTTTGACAAAGGAGCAAAGACTATGCATTGGAGCAAAGAAAGTTTGTTCAATAAATGGTGCTGGGAAAACTGGGTCGCTACATGCAAAAGAATGAAGCTTGACCACTACCTCACACCATACACAAAAATCAACTCAAAATGGATTAAAGAACTAGACATAAGACCTGAAACCATAAAATACATAGAAGGAAATATAGGCGAAACACTAAGGGGTTTGCACATCAAAGACATCTTTACAGACACATCACCCAAAGCAGTGATAGTGAAGGCAAAGATAAACAGCTGGGACTACATCAAATTAAAGAGCTTCTGCACAGCAAAAGAGACAATAACAAAAACAAAGAGAAACCCCACCAACTGGGAGAACATTTTTGCACCCAACACTAATGATAAAGGACTGATCACAAAAATCTGCAAAGAGCTGATGAGACTCAGCAACAACAAAGAAAATAATCCAGTCAAAAAATGGGCAGAAGAGCTAAAAAGAAACTTCTCAGAAGAGGAAATGCAAATGGCCAACAGACATATGAAAAAATGTTCAACATCACTTGTAATCAGGGAAATGCAAATCAAAACTACCATGAGATACCATCTCACACCAGTGAGAATGGCACATATTAAAAAAACTAGCAACAACAAATGTTGGCGAGGGTGTGGAGAAAAAGGAACTCTTCTGCACTGTTGGTGGGAGTGCAAACTGGTCCAACCACTATGGAGAGCTGTGTGGAGATTTCTGGACCTACTAAACATAGAACTTCTATATGATCCAGCAATTCCACTCCTAGGTATTTACCCAAAGGACACAGAAACATCATTCCAAAGAACACCTGCACCCCTATGTTTATAGCAGCACTATTTACAATAGCTAAGCTTTGGAAACAACCCAAATGCCCAAAAATAGATGACTGGATCAAGAAGATGTGGTACATATACACCATGGAATATTACTCAGCATTCAAAAAAGATAAACACATGCAATTTGCAGCAACATGGATGGCGTTGGAAGGGATCATGCTCAGCGAAATAAGCCAAAAAGAAAAAGAAAAATAACGGATGGTCTCACTCATAGCAGGAATCTAGAAAACTTAAATAAGGGACCAGGAAAATGAATATAAGAAAGTGAAAATCAAAATCAACAAAAAACTATGAACCAGAGACACTTTTTGGGGGGTGGGGGGCGGGAGGGGAGGGATTGGGGTCAGAATGGGGTGTTTGCAATTGTATGGGGGAATATAAAAATAAAATTTATTATTTAAAAAAAAAAATATATAGTTCTTTTAATTGGGGTTATTTTGAAAAATTCTAAGCTTACTTCAATCATATACCAATTCCTTCCAAAGTAATATTCCGAGACAGATGTTCTGATGAGATGGCTTCAAGAAATTTCTGCAATATTCATATTTGAAGATTCCTTATTAATGACAGTCTTTGGCATAAATCTATGCAAAAACTGCAACATTATTTTTGTGCTTTCTATTAGTATTTTTTTCATTATATAATGTTAAGAGGCTTTCTTGCAAACAAATACATAAGCTATCTGTTAAGAAAAAATTTAAGTAATATAAAAGAAATAAGCACTTGATACATATGTACATACATTTTCTCCTTATTTAAACACATGGTACCTTGGTAAAAGAATTTTACTTAGGTTTGAATAAATACATGCCAGGCAAATAAGAGTCTACTCTTATTCATGTATATTTCTATATAGTTGGAAGACATAAAACATTCCAAAAGTGGCAAAAGATAAGGATGAGAAGAAAATTGAAATCTTTGTTTCAACACTGGAAATGTCTGGGAACAATTTACTTACACAGCCTTTTCAATAGCTCCAATCTCATTAGACATTCCCAAACCATAGTAGCACAATGCTCCAAGACCAACGGCAGCCCCTCCAGCAATGAACCATCTTCCCATCTGATCAACTGTGGAACACAAAATAAATGTATACTGACATGCCTTGACTAAAATAAAATCCCAATATTTATAAAAGGGAAGTCAAACCATATGCAGTATTTCTTCATAAGAGCTACAACTTGTACACGGAGATATGTACAAATCTTAGTAAAAAAGAACACCACTAAAAATAAAGGTATAAAACCAATACAAAAAACCCCCAGATTTGATTAATCTTGCTCCAACAAAATCTGAGGGGCAGTGTACCTACAGATGTGGGGATACTTCCAAGATACATTATTTTATCAATAAGAGGTGTGTTCTCATGACATTTTTAGAGAGTAAAGATGAGAAGGAAATGTTAAGTCATACTACACCATCCAATATGCTATCTACAAAGATGATTCTTTACAAAGTTAAGAAAAAAGGAAGTAAAAAACCAACCAACCAACCAACCAACCAAATAAAAAAACCCAAGGTGTTTCTGGACTGGAATCCAGGGAGAGGGTGCTCTTATTTTAGAGTACTATCAAAGAAACAATTAACTTACCAGTTCTAATTTGAAGGAAATATTCATAAACAATATCTTACTCCCTTTAGTCTAAATCTGTAAACTAACAATGTTGCTATGATTCATATAATTTGTTTTCTGGGGTCAACTTATTAAAAATATATGCCTGGGGCCTCCCCAGTGGCGCAGCGGTTGAGCGCTGGGTTGCGAAGCTGCCCGCAGCCTCTGCAGGCCCGGTTCAATCCCAGCCACTGGGAGAGGGTCCTACATGGCGCGCAGACCTCTCCTGCCGCCCGCTGCTCCCCTCAGCAGTGTATTTCGTCATTCTGCCTGCTCTGCTCTCTCCTCTGGCTCTGGTGAATTCTCTCACCCTCCTGCTCTTCTGACTGTATCCCAGTGCTTGTATAAATAAATAAATAAATCTTAAAAAAAAAAGTGCCCCCCCAATATATATATATATAGATATATATATAGATATATATAGATAGATATATAGATATATAGATATATGCCTGATGGAAGCTGACTGGTGATCTTTCCCATTGTTGTGTGTTGACATTTTGCAAGATTGTTAAAGAACAATGGGCTTTGGATAGATTAACAAAATTGTTAACTTCAAAGCTGAAATCCAAACTGTTAACCAAAATGACTTCATTAAGGTACTGTTTTTCTGAGAGGCCTTATATTGCCAGTCAGTTAAGAAGACCCTTCTCTTTTTCTTTTTTTTTCTTTTTTTTTAAATAGAGGCATGTTTTATTTATTTATTTATTTGTTTGTTTGTTTTGTTTATACATGCACTGGGTACAGTCAGAAGCACGGGAGGGCGAGAGAATTTGCCAGAGCCAGAGCGGGGAGCAGAGCAGGCAGAAGGACCGAAGTACACTGCTGAGGGGAGCAGCGGGTGGCAGGAGAGGTCTGCGCGCCATGTGGGACCCTCCTCCAGTGGACGGGGAGCAGCCGGGGATCGAACCGGCGCCGCAGAGGCCGCGGGCAGCTTCGCAACCCAGCGCTCAACCACTGCGCCACCGGGGAGGCCCATGGAGGAGCTAGGCCTTTATTTACATTTATTTGGGCGACTTACTCTTGACCTGAAACATGTAAGTAATATATATGCCTGAATGAAAACTCTATGTAAATTCAAATGAACTTCCATAACATATTACACCTTTTATAAATCATAACATGTTAACTAAATCCTAAAAAGGAAATGGTTAAAGTTAAATTTTCTCTGGAAGAAAAATGATTGGGAACCACTGAACCCAGTGTAAGATACCAATATTATAACACCCTCTCTCCCCACCAAATGCAGATACACAAATTTGCATAAGTTTTCAGGAAGTTGTTCAAGGACCTCTTAAAACTTACCAGTGTATTACAGTTTAAAATTTAAAGATTATCACCTACTTTTAAATATCTTTTCCATTGATGGTTCCAATGCTGCCTCTTTAAGTTCCTGACCAGTTTTCCCACGCCGGATCCCAATTCTGGTCTTGGTGGCATATTCCTGATATATATGAAAACAAAAACACACACACCAAATCAGAATGTTAACAATTAAAGAAAATAGACGATCCTGTTACACAATAAATTCTACTTAAAGTTATCTGTCACTTCATATAAATAAAACATGCTAGCCAATTTATAAAGCTAAATATAGACCCTATCTGTGCTCTATCTTCAAAATGATTCATGAAATACTTAACTTCTTTGTTTAAATTTTAGAATTGTTTCATAAATGATACTTATTTCTCTAGAATTACAATATTTTAAACATTAACTTAAGAAAAAAAATTCAGTATGTACTACATTTTTTTCAGCCAGGAAAATGGGCAAGAGTTATCTTTTCTAACACAAAGTAAAAGGGAAGGATATCTACTATTTCTATTTTAGCCCTTTTTCAGCACAACAGTTCACTTAAGAGGAAAAAAAAGTTGTCTCCTTCAGCTTTTGTGTATTTTCTTATCTACCTCTCCTCTCCAAAATATGTATCTCTTCTAATTTGAGTGTTAGAGAAATCTATTTTGAAAGGAAATGGATTTCTCTCTAACCTGACATTTTGTTTTACCATTCACCAAACAAGAGTGAAATGGGTATGTTCAGTAGCTGATTAGTAAGCTATTGGCCAAATGGTCATATTCCTGGCTGCTTAAACTTTTGATCATAGGGTCCACAATTCTTTTGTTGTATCATTTTCTTCTCAATCCCTCACAAGTTAGCCTAAATTCTCTAAAAGGGAGACTCCAAGAGCTATAAGTAAAGGAAAAGTTATAGAGCTCTTTTTTCTCTTTTATGTTAAGAATGGAACAGAATGATACAAAAGTAATGGATGAAAAATCTGATTTGGCATATTATCAGGGATAACTATTGCAGCAAACCACTAATGTTAGTACAGGAACTTCATACTATCAAATAAATAAAGTCCCAGGGTATACAGAGAGACAAAACCATTGAGATTATTTTTACCCTGCTAGGTGTTAAGAGCCACTGATTCCTTGTGATGGAATTCTTCACAGCAGGGGAGGCCTTGGTGAAAGTTGGGTGGAAAACCCTGGAAGGTAGTGTCCGGAGACACACAAGTCTTGCGGCCAGCATGGTGGTGCACCAGGTTTACCAAGCAGATCTTAAATGCTAAAAACAGATATGCAAAAAAATCCATTAGTCACCCGTGGGAAGGACACAAAGAATCCAAAACCAGGAAGGAATCAATCACTTTTGAGTAGAAATGTGGGCTTTTAAAATGTCAATGACGAATTCTGTTTACCCCTTATAGTTCAAGAAATCCATCCTACGGAACCCAGTTTTCAATAGACTACGCAATAGTGTTTATTTTATTTTTTTTAAAGATTTATTTATTTATTTATTTATACAAGCACTGGGTACAGTCAGAAGCTAGGGAGGGCGAGAGAATTCACCAGAGCCAGAGCCGGGAGCAGAGCAGGCAGAAGGACCGAAGTACACTGCTGAGGGGAGCAGCGGGAGGCAGGAGAGGTCTGCGCGCCATGTGGGACCCTCCTCCAGTGGCCGGGGAGCAGCCGGGTATCGAACCGGCGCTGCAGAGGCTGCGGGCAGTTTGGCAACCCAGTGCTCAACCGCTGCGCCACCGGGGAGGCTCCCCAATAGTGTTTAAATCCCAGTTTGAACAATAGGAAATGTGACTATAAATTATATGACTAATGCAGATTGTTTATTTCTTAAGAAAATTACAGGATGGGGCCTCCGTGGTGGAGCAGTGGTTGAGAGCTGGGTTGTGAAGCTGCCCGCAGCCTCTGCGGTGCCGGTTCGATACCCGGCTGCTCCCCGGCCACCGGAGGAGGGTCCAGCATGGCGCGCAGACCTCTCCTGCCGCCCGCTGCTCCCCTCAGCAGTGTACTTCGGTCTTTCTGCCTGCTCTGGTCCTTCTGCCTGCTCTGCTCCCCGCTCTGGTGAATTCTCTCACCCTCCCGCGCTTCTGACTGTACCCACCGCTTGTATAAATAAATATCTCTTAAAAAAAAATAAAGTATGTTTAAAAAAAAAAAGAAAGAAAAGAAAATTACAGGATGGGTGACAGCTTTTATAAATGTGGCTCTGAGTTCAGATTTACACTAGCATTCAATGGGAAAATTTAAAACAAGACTATAGCTTTTGAGCAGAGGAAAATATCATTCAAGGAAAACACAACTCTTCGAGGTCATACTGTATTATAAACCTATAAAATAGCAAGGGAAACCAAATCATCCATTTATGCTAAACATGCCAAACAATACTTCCCCTCAAAATAAGACAATTATTCAAGGTACTGAAATCATCTGGGATGCAATATAAAATGCAGATTCTTGGATCTCAATTTGGTGCTAATGATTCAAATTCTAGGAATGAGACACAATATTAATATTTTATCTAGCACCCCCCTCCCAAAAAAAAGATGAAAATCCTTGCTTTAAAAAAACACCGAATGTACTTTCAGCCTTGCCACCAGATCTGCGAGGGTGTACAACACTGGGCAGATGGCCTTTGGAAAAATACCAACGGGCAGCACTTTCACACTATTACATCATCTCAGCCTATAGTTGCTGGGTATCTTCCTTAGTCCTCAGGCCACCCTCTGGGAAAGCGGCCCAGTTCAGGCAGTGACCTCTATGTCGTATAACAGAACAGGAATCTTCCTTCTCGACAGGCTACGAATTCTGATCTCTGAGGCTTAGGTGCCTTTCTTAGGAAATGCGCAAAATATTGCTTCTGTAAGCACCGATGAGCTCAAGCGCCGAGTACCCCGAGAAAGTCCGCCCATCTCACTAGACTCGGATGAGAACGAGGTAGAAAGCCTCAAGTCTCCGAAAGTGAAAGCACACTTCCAACAACACCCCCTTATCAGCCTGGGCGGTGGCTGTGTGGCCCTGCGGATGACTCAAGCACCCTGCCGCCGAGGGACAACAGCAGTGCGAGTGGGCCGCTGCCTACATACCCCGTCCTACCGGCCGCCGCCCCCAGCCACCCGGTCACCCGCAGGACGACGACCCTGACGCTGCGCCAGGTTGTGACGCAGCCAGGAGCGCCACCGCCTCCAGCCCTCCTGAGACACACTCAGCTGCCCCGCGGGGCGAGGAATCAGTATAAAGTGGAATTCCGGCGTGTGTCGGCCGGGAGAAACCCTAACTCAGATCTCGGTCACCTCAACCGCGCAGCGTCCCTTCCCGGCCGGCGAGACGCAGATGCGCACAACTCCCTGATCCAGTGCGCGCGCAGCCAGCGTGAGGTAACATCCGCTGCAAACTCTAAGACTAGCCAATCAGGAGCAGGTTTTTGACGGAAGAGGCGGGCACATTAGGGAGGAAGGGGGTGGTTCCTATTTGTAGGGCGTGGCCAGTGGAAGATTGTTGGGAGAGGCAACAGTCAATGTCCATTTTTGATGTGGGCAGAGACGGCCTTTCGGCCATCATAACTGTGGAGCAAAGAAGGCGCTCATCTCGGTGTTTACCGCGACAGTTTCACTTGTAGTCTTTATGAATATTATTTAAAAATTGAAAGAGAATGATGTGAGAGCTAAGAATTAATCTGTGGCTCTGTTCCTTTCCTCTTGTCGCATTTGTGTGCCTTCTGAAGAACTTACTGTGATATAGTGTTCCAGTCTGACTGTTTCAGACTGGAGCCAACCAGCTTCAGGGCTCTGTGACCAAGGGCACATTTTCACGCTTGTGTAAAGTTCTGACACAGACTCTACCGTTTTCTCCTGGTTGTTCAGAAGACGAGATGTTTCATTTGATTGTAATTTGTAGATGGGAAAGCTATTCCTCAGCTACATAAGGGAGTAAATTTTAAAAATTTCTTTTTAACTTTTCGCTGTTACTCATACAAGCAATGAAGCCTCAATTTATATCATGAGCTGCACTAGGGATATATACAAAAGAGTAAACCACAAATGGTGCCATTGTTTTTGCAAAACAAAATCCCTGCCCTTCAGACATATACTCTCTGATGGAAACAAAAATATGGACAAAATGTTTGCTGATGATAAATGCTGAGAAGAAAAATAAAGATGGGTAAAACTTTGAAGGGATTCTATTTTTAGATAAGATGTTTAACCACAAGTTCATGATCTATACCTTAAGCTGTTCGTTATTGTGAGTTATAACACTCCCCTAACCACGTAAATCTTGTCAAATATATAGGTTTGCATTTGTTATGTGGGTAATAAAATAGTTAGCAAGGCAGTTCTTAATTCTGTACTCTGAAAATAGGAGGAAAACACTGGAGAAATCTGTCACTTAAGGTAGTGAAGAGATCCAGCTTGATCAATTTAATCTTACTTCAGATCTTCACCCAGTTTGATTAGCTACCAAATAGGGTCTTTGTTTAGCTCCCTTAGTGATATTTTTTCCCCCAGATCTTCCCTTATTCACAAAGAGAAGTAATTTAGAACACAGTACTTGAATAAAGAAAAAATTTAACTTTTAAAATTTTAATTTGTTTAAAAATTTAAACTTGCTCTCTTCCTAATGGAACATTTCTCTCTTTTTTTTTTGAAGAAACATTTTCTGATTTCATATTCTCTTTTCACAAATATTATTGTTTCCACAGTTACATGTTTTGAGCCAGCAGAGTAACCTGATCACATCACTGGGAAGACAGTCTGGGTGTAGGGTGGGGAGAGGTTTCACTGATTGGGAAGTAAATTAGAAATTTATTGCGTTACAATGGGGAGGAACATCACCACAGCCGTGGGAGAGGATACCATTTTCCCCTGCCCCCACTTCCATAACACCAACATGTCAAACACCTTGAATTGCAGCTCTCAGTATGCCATGAACGGATTTCCTGATTGGGACTGCTGGGGAGGGAGAAAGGAGCAAGGGAGATAAATATTGAGTTGGAACAAAGAGGATGGGGAGACATGCTGGGTGGCTTTTGCAGGTGGGCTCTTCAAGGATGATGGCAGCAGTCATCTTGCTTGGCCTTATGGTGGATTATCCAGGTTGGATGGTGCATTGTGAATTTGTGGTCCCTCTCCACTTTGTAGCTCTGCTCCTGGCCTATTTCACTGGGTGTTTGCCCATGAGAGGATGGGTGAATTTGAGCAGGAGTTTTGTTTGGGGTTTGAGCAGTCTCCTCTTCCGCCTTCTTTTCATCCTTCTCTTTCTCTCTCTCTTCCTTTTGAACCTTTCACTGATTAAAGAATTTTGAGCATAGTAGAGTGATTACTTTCCTTTCTGTGCCAGATGGCTGGACCCTTAGAATGGGCAAAAATGAGTTTCTCTCTTCTTAACAGTTTTGATTCCTTGGGTACCTCTCAGTTTCACTGGACATCATTTTGGTTCCCTGACTGGGAAATAAGACTCCTGGTTACAGTTGCAATTGTGCAAGCACAGGGTGGTAAAAGCTGGAATTACAATACAGTAGAGGGACAGTGAGAGATTTTTGATAGATATATCAGTGAGGAGAAATTTACAGGACTTGACTTATTTTAAAATAGCCGATAAAATAAAGGCAGCCACTCAAGATAATCCCTTTTTTCTAAATTGAGTGAAATTGAGTGGAAAATTATACCATTAATTTAAAGATAGGACATAGGTAGAGATACAGAAGTGGGGAAAGAAGATTACTAAAACTCCATACGAAATCTTAAATTGTAACCTCTGCCTCTGCATGCTTGGAGCATAGGTCAAATAATACAAAAACAAACAAACAAACAAACAAAAAAAAACCCCACATGAACCACAAATCCCAATGCTGTTGTGAAAGGACTTCAATCTAAAATGGAGCCAGGAGATATGAAATGGAGACTTCTATGCATGAGCCCTCAGAAAGGAATTTAAGAGAAACTCAATGGAGAGAATAACTTCTATAAATGCTTGATTTACAGAAGACTGAGACATCTCCTGACCAATGAACATCTGACGAGAAAGCTCTCTTGATCCTCAAGTCAATGAATGTACTACTTAAACTCTGGCTAGACACGCCCTTCCCTGTATTCCTTACCCATAAAAACAGGTTACCCCAAACCCTCAATAATCTTGCCTAGTTTCTAAATTATAATTTCTCTTTACTTCTGAATAAATTCAAATTCTATGAAGTTGAACTTGCCTCAATTTACCTCTTTACTCAGGCTGACACTAGAGTCACCACAATTTTTATTAAGGGTTATTGACTGACTTTGTATCATTAAGCTGCTAGATAGAGGAGAAAAATCAGAGCAAAGAATATATTTTGTTGTTGTTTTTTGTAATTCAGTTAAAATAAATGGCCCCACCAGATTTTCCATCAGGAGAGGTGGTACAGGCGAGAGAATGTGGAAAACAGGGAGTTCATAAGGGCCCTACTGGGACACCCTTAGATCCTATGACTGCTTTGCTATGACATAAGATGTCTCACTAGGATTTGGCTTTGTACTTCTCTCTGAGCTATGCTGCAATGTAACTTTCCTTTCAGGCCTGGAGCCAATGAGGGATGGATGGCATGGTGATGAGATTTTGCATCTCATGTAAGTCAAATACTCAAGGAGTATTTATTGAAAAAAGTTCTTTTTTTTTTTTTTTTTAAATGGAGCAGAGACTGATTCCAGTCAAAAAAGAGCAAGGGGCACTTAGAGGTTGAATTTTCTCAGTCTCATTAGTGTGTATCTGCCCAAACAGCACACCATTGTCTCTTATGCCCCTCCCTTAGGATAAGAGACTTGGCAAAATTTTCCAGTAATTGATGCTGCATCTTCATAACCCTTCAATCAGGTTCTGCACTTGATCCTCAACTACATCTGTTCTGTGGTCACAGATGATAAGAGATTCTTGTCTAGTGGCATTTTGATTTTATACCCATTACTTGAGTTTGGATGAAGTTTCAGTGTCCTTGGGGACTCCCTGGTGGCACAAGGGGTTAAGGCGCAGCACTATGAAGCTATTGCAGCCATTGCAGCACTAGTTTGATCCCCAGCCAGGGAGGTGACTCACATGGTGCAGCAAACCTCTCCTGTCTCACCCACTGCTTCCCTCAGCAGTGTATTTCAGTCAATCCTCCTGTTCTTTTTCTCCACTCTGCCTCTGGTGAATTCTCTCACTCCCTGCACCTCTGGCTTGTACCCCAGTTCTTGTATGCATAAATAAATCATTTAAAATACAAAATAAAAATTTCATTGTCCTCCATATAGGGGAGTTAGAAATAACCATTTGGCCCCCAGGATATTTGTAATGACCTCTGTTGCCTTAATGAATAAGTGCAAAATTTTTGTCTTAGAAGCTTAATACTATGACTGCCTCCCAATTCTTTTCTTGGGGCCCATGCACTGTCCCTTGCCACTGCCAGTAATGATTGGAGTAATTGTGATGCCACCACATGTCTGAAAAAGAAGTTATCTGTGCTTTCATATGTGAGCACTTTCAGAATCCTATTTTGAGAGTCTGTCTCCTGGGTACCACTTATTATTGTATTAACATCCAGAAGGAAACAGATGGTACTTTAAAAAGAGACAATTGGCGAGAGTCTAATGAAGGCATTACTTGCAAGTGTGTGTGTGCTCGGATACACACGTTTGGGGATGGAAAAGCACCCTGGAATTAGCAGCATGGGGATGCTGTTATCTGAGCCTGGAGGGACAGGGGAAGAAGGTTTGTGGATCCTGGCAAAAATTGCAGGTGTAGGAGGAGGATCACACAAGAGTAGTCGTGATCATGGCATTGCAGGATGAGAACCAGGGGGGTAAGTACTCCAACGTCTCATCTTCTGTTCACCTGCTGATGCCTCCCAGTTGTCTGACCCCCAACTCTAAGCAGAGGGAGCAGGGAGCTGGGACAATGATCCTAGAGATCTGCCTTCTAGTACCCATGGCAGGTTGGAGAGGTAGAGAGTGTTAATCTCAAGTTTCTCAATTAAAATAGGCTGATTTGTATTCTCCCAAATTCCTATGTTGAAGTTCCAGCATCCAGTTCAGTTGTATTTGGAGATGCTACCTCCAAGTAAGGATTATAATTAAATGAGATCATGAGAATGGAATCTGGTAAGACTAAAGCCCTTATATGAAAAGGAAGAAACCCCAGACACTCTCACACTTTCACACTCCCACACTCTTTCACATTCACTTTCTCTCACACACTCACACTATCCCACTTGTACACACTCAGTCTCATACACACTCACACTCACTTTCTCAGACTCACATGCTGTCTCCCATACTCACATTCTCTCACTTTCACACTCATGCACTTTCTCTCTCGCCTGCTCTCACAGTCACACACTCCACACTCATTCTCACACTCTTTCACATTCATTCTCTCATGTACTCTCACACATCCTCACACTAACGCATCCTCACATTCACGCTTTCCCACTCTCCACATTCTTTACCCTCTCATACATTCCATAATGTCATATTCACCCTGTCACACACTGTCACACCCTCTCACTCTCACACTCTCATCTGAGAACAGAGTAAAAAGGCAGCTGTCAATCAGCCAGGAAGAAAAATCTCACCAGGCACCAAGCCTAATGGGCCGGTCCCATCAGGATTAACCAAGGTTCCTTGATCTTAAATCTCTACTCCAGAACTGTGGGGAATAAATATCTGTCATTAAGCTACCCAGTGTGGTATTTTGTTTTGCAGCTGGAGTAGACTAACAAATCTTCTAGAAGAGGAAGATTATAATATGTGTCTCATGTTCCTATGAGGATTAACAGATATAGTATGCACAAAGTACTATGTAGATGTACAATAATTAATAACTATCTTATTATTGGCATTGAGTTAAATACTGAGAGTCTCATTTTATGATTTTTAATACCATTCTCTTTGTTTTGTTTATTTTGAGCATCAATGATCTTTCTTGAAGTGAACCTTCATACATTAAATATCCTATGAGGGGCCTGCCTGGTGGTGCAGCAGTTGAGCACTGGGCTGCAAAGATGCCCGCAGCCTCTGCAGCACTGGTTTGATCCCTGGCCACTGGCGAGGGTCCTACATGGCGCGACAGACCTCTCTTGCCGTGCCCGCTGCTCCCCTCAGCAGTGTACTTCGTCAGTCTGCCTGTTCTGTTCCCTGCTCTGGCTCTGGTGAATTCTCTCACCCTCCCGCGCTTCTGACTGTACCCCAGTGCTTGTATAAATAAATAAATAAATAAATCTTAAAAAAAATAAATCTCTTATGTCTTCATTAAAAAAAAAAATCCTATGTGGTCTTGGGTACCTTTTTACTTTGTTTGTAATCTGCTTTTGTTAATGTCTCACTCTCTTCCCCCCACCTCTGTTTGCATGTTGAATTACTATTTAATTTTAGCATTTCCAATGTCTAATTTACTGGTTTATTTTTTATTTTTTTAAGATTTATTTATTTATGCATACAAGGGTGCAAGCCAGAGATGCGGGGATGGGGTGAGTGGATTCACCTGAGAGAGAGTGGGGAACAGAACAGGTAGATGTACTGAAATATACTTCTAAGGGGAGCAGCAGGCGAGACAGGAGAGACAGGAGATGTCTGCTGGGCCATGTGGGTTACCTCCCTGGCTGGGGATGGAACTCGTGCTGCAGATTGTTTCATAGTGCTGCATCTTAACCCTTTCTACCACCATGGAGGACCCTTACTTACTGGTTTAAAACAGATGGTTCTAAGCTCATTATTCTATAAATGCACATTACATATTTATTAATAAATGTGTGTGTGTGTGTGTGTGTGTGTATTTGGGTGAATTTGTTTAAATTCCTGATGAAGTTCACCTGCCACATTTCAAACTATTTTGTCAAATAGTAGACCCAACACTATTTTCATTTTTATCTTCTGTGTTTTACATTTTGCCTTGCTTGTCTTTTTGGTACATAAATGCTTATGGGTAGAAAGCACTTATTTTATATCATTTTATATGTCAGTTTCAAGCATCAATACACAATGATAGTTTTCAAAAAAATAATGAAAATCCTTTCAAGTAAAAAAAATCATATTTTAAAACTTGGATTATTTAGATTTACTGGTGGTAAGTGACAAGAATGATGGGTATGCTTCTAATAAAACACTGTCAGCCAGCCATTTCAGTGGAGGGAAATATTATCAGAAACCCAAAAGTGTGGGCCCACATGAATATAAAAAAATGAATAATGGAGAATTAGTTTGTTAGCTATTAAAAGCATACTGTTTAAGCAATAATGCATATAGTAGGTTTATAATTTAAAAATAGTTTAATAATAGCTACAGCTGGGCCTCCATGGTGGCACTAGGGGTGAAATCTCAGCACTATGAAGCTATCAGCAGCCCCTGGCCAGGGAGCTGGCACAGCAGACCTCTTCTGTCTCACCTGCTGCTCCTCTCAGCAGGTACTTCAGTCAATCCACTTGTTCTATTCCCCACTTTGTGGCTAATGAATCCTCTCACCCCCACCCTCCACACCTCTGGCCTATACCCCAGCTCTTATATGCATAAATAAATCAATCTTAATAAAAAGTAGGCACAGCTTATTGAGTTCTACTATGGGCTGACATTAATTGTTGGTCATTTTACGTTTATTTTATTGTGTATATTGTGGCCTCAGGGGCTTGTTTTTCCTGTTTTGGGGACAAGATATTAAGACAGTTTGGATAGGCTGAGGAGTGATGAGGAGAAGGAATGTTAATGGGAATGAAGTCTTACTTGGAACAGGTATCTAGGGCTTCCACTTTCTCTGGTGGTTTGATAGGTGGGAGAAAAGACAAACACCTAATATGCAAGAAAAATAAGAGATGCATCACATTTCTTACCAAAAATATTGGCTACTAGATGTCCAATCCAGTGGAGCAATGCCTTCAAAGCTCTGAAGGAAGAGAGCTGAGGACCTTAAATTTGATACCAAGGAAGAATATAAATCAAGTATGAATAAGGGCAAGATTTTGTGCTGAGATGGATTCCTTGTCTTTCATTTTCCCTGAATTGCTGGAGACTAGCCCTGGAAGCTGTGTTTCCCAGGCTCCTGATTTACTGATTTCTGATTGGGTTTAAGCAGTGAAAGTACAGGAGGATCTTAGAAACGAGGGTATAATTCATCCAGTCCCTATACACCCAGTGGAAGCTGATTTTTGCTATGTCTTCTCTATGACTCTAGTTTTGTTAACAGGGTGGTCCCCAGAAAAGGGGGAGGTTCCAGGTTCCTGTTCCACCCAAAAGGAGGGTGGAGCTGAGCAGGGAGAAAAAGAAGCTGGAGAGGAGACTGAGGAAGGAAGGAAGCAGGATGGAGAGGCGGAAGGAGACCTGGAGGAGGCACGTAGAGCTGAGAGATACATGAAGAAACTGCACTTGCCTTTTGGTCATGGACTGGTTGAAATAGATGTGGGTGAGAGATCTGTGGGGAAGTGACAATGGCGGTTTTTGTCTTGCTTTTGATTTTGCTCTCTTTCTTCCATACTTGTCTGCTTGTTTCTGATCCTTTTCTGTGGGTCCTCACTGGAAGATGCTTTAGACTTGTGACAGGCTTTGGGGCTTTGTTCTGGGCCAATCCAAGGGATGGGTAACTTTGGGTGCTTGATTTAGAAACTATA